GTGTGTGTGTGTGTGTGTGTACGTGGTGAAAAACCAAACCAATGTGCCAGGATCTGGACAATAAAGATGTATCTTATCTTATCTTATCTAATCTGACCGGAACAATGCACCGTCCCCACACCTCCCGACACGGCTGTTGAACATGTCCGTGGTGTGCACAAGTTAAAATTCCACTGTCAACTATTTCGTCACGTCATATCTAATACTAGCTGGGCCCCCTTTCGATGAAAGGAATGATCGGTTCATTAACATCAACTGAAAGTCATTGGCCTATCATATTTACACTCTACTGGAGTGGGGCAATAAATCTTGAGAGGTGCAAAAAACTAGAGGGTCTAGATCTATACTCTCAAAACAAAATGCGCCTCGCGAAATATCACTTCCGGAACTTCCGCTGGGAAGGACAGCTACGCAGATTTGTTTCGTTTCTCAGTGGAATAATCACAAAGGCCAAGGAAAGACGGGAGCTTTTTGTCAAATATATTTTTCTAAATTCAAGAAATGAATAAATCAAACATCAGGCTCAGTCATGGGGACCTATCTATCTTTTTGCAGGTACTTGCCAACTTTCAACTCTACAGCTGTCGTAGTTTTATGGGAAAAGTGACACATGTATTTCCAAGTTGCTAAATATAATATAATAGATTTGTTTATACCTCTTTGGCTGTTTGTAATTTGACAGACATTCTAAAAGCAGTGTTCATGATAGCTTTTCCTCGGCGGTAGACATACGGTACATGTAATACTAATAGGAAGAACATTGCCCAAGTACTGCTTCCCTCCTTTAAGATCTTGACTTCCCTGAAAATGATAATATGATCCAAAGGATAGGTCGTTAATACACTTAGAATCAAGGAAGGTGTAAACCTGTGTTTTATACTCTTACAATTTTACAGGTGTGATGGGGACATTATTTTTATGGTTTTCAAATTTTGCCAGAGTGGTGGCCTAATGGCTTTTGTGAGTTTCGACCACCAAGGTATTTTTAGCGTACACAACGGATACACAGGACCTCCGAGATTTTTCGCCATTTTCCCAGAAGACTAAGCGCTCGATCTTATGATAGGGGGTGTGGAGGAGGAATGAGATTGAATGAGTGAGTGAGTAAGATAAAGAGGGGTTTTTTTAAAGCTGAGAAAGAGAGAAGATTAAACGAAGAAATTCAGATAGTTTTTCAGTCAATGGAGTGCGCCATCAACTTTTGCAGTGGTAAGTATCACCACCTGTCACGCTGGAGACCGGGGATCCATTCCCCACCTGAAGGGCTGGTGTTTTTGGGGTTTTTTTAGTAGAGGTTTTTACGGCGCTCGCAACTGCATAAGGTCATATGAGCTCCAAGGGGTGGATGTCAACAGAGAGGTCCTTACAGTCTTACAGGGTATCAGGCTTACTCTGCTCACCTCTCTAGCCTCAACAGCCTCGTTTGGAAACAACAGACAGCCTCCTGTATTGGCTCCTATATTTGGTTTCTATAAGGTTTTAAAACACTTTTAATCATTCAACTGTAAAAAAAATAAAAATTTTTTAAAGGTAAGCTTACAGGTTTTTTAAGAAGCGGGCTAATGATGTCATCACACCCCCCCCCCCCCCCCCTTAAAAAAAAAAACCACACACACACAAAACAGCAATTTAAAAAATCTCTGCATTGTTGTTATTTGACAGATTTCCAAATTAAAACATAATAATAGTTACAAATAACACCCCCACCCCCTTTTTTTCACGTTGCAGTTA